GCTTGGATTTGGGTTGTTGCAGAGGAATACACCCTGGGGTTGTTGCTGCCTGGCCCCCAGCACCCTTCGTCCTTGGCTCCAGAGCCATGCTGTGGCTTTTGGTGTGCTGGAGATGCACCCATCCCACAGTACTTGGTGCCCATGTGGGTCAGCAGCAGAGTAACAACTGGGGACCGATTGTGCCGCTACACTGTGTTATTCTTCTGCTGGGAGGGAGATGAGGAAAGTTATAATTGCATTTAATGTAACTCCTCTGCTCTCAGATCTACAAAATTTAAAATGGCTGTTTGTTTTTTGCATCTTTATTTTTATAATTAGAAGACGGAAGCATATTAGTAAAACAATGAATGACGTGTTTGCTTATTTTGGGTATTGATTACTTTCACTTTGTGACAGGTTTGAAATGCACACACTTGAGAAAATCCAAGTAGACTTTATGCGCTTGACATGTTCCACTGAATTGCAAACGGCTAAGAATTTCTTCAGGAAATTAGTCCAACATGACGTGTCTGAAAGAGCCAGTTTTTTGTTACGTGTATGATAGTGGTTGGATTATTAATTGAAAAACAGTATCAACAACAAAAATGCAGTAGGGGATTTGTGTGAGGTTGCCCTTTGGTCCTGCTGTGGCAGGAAGCAGAAGTGTGAATAAACTGCATAAGGAGTGTTGAGCTCAGTCGGGTAATCAAATGTTCTATCTGACACTTATGAGTAGGGCTGAAAGTCAAGTGCCTGCAATCAGCAGAGAAGTGTAGATGCATTTTCATTATAAATTAAGTAGTCTAGTTATATTTGGTTGGGTTTTGTTGTGTTTTTAAAAATTATATTAGGACCTTTCTGTTTTTTAAACAGCACATTTTGTATGTTGTGAAAGTGCAGGGATGGCTCTGATAGGACCTGACCTGCCTTGTCAACTTTTTCACTCTGTGATTCAGACTTGGCATGTTCTTAGGATTTTAGCCACACTGTCTCCTTTGCTGCTACTTATACTTGTGTTCAGGTCCCCATAGACCCAGGTACCTCACCGCTTGTTGTCAGCCCATTCTTACAGTGCTCTGGACATCTACCTTTAACAAAAAAGGAATGCAGAAAAGAAAAAAAAAAGCCAGAAGAAAATAAGTTATTTTGCTGTTTGTGTGCTACTTCCTGTTGAACTGTCTTACTAGTCTTTTCCCCTATCTCATTAGGTTTTTGTCTCCTGTCCATATCAATCCCCTGGGACTTCCCCCATTCACCTATATATTCAGATTCATTTTATTGCCTTCTCAGTATACCTTGAATGAATGCATACCTATGAATGATGTTTGTAGAAAATAGTGATTAGAAGAATTAGTAATGTGCAAATTCCTCAGGGTAAAGATTCTTCACTTGACCATAATACCATGCTAGAAGATAACTGACAACCCCTGCTTATTTTGTTGTGGATTTTTTTTTCAGTACAGGCTAAGATCCTCCCTCGTGCTTGCTGTTTCATAAGGAGTTGTGGTTGTTCAGAAAATCTTGCTGAAGCTAACTGGAAAATTAGTAATTAATTTTCAATTGCCACATCGGTCTTTCCTTTTCTATTGCAGCAGAGACTTTTTCAGAGATTCAAGTGTTCCTGAATGCATTAGATAAAACTGTGAATTTTCTCATCCATGAAATTAGTTACATTAGGTGAGATGCAGAAGCTATATTGTGAGTAACCTGATACTCTCTTCAAATGATGTTTACAGGTAATGAGAAGTGCATGAGAGTACTTGACAGTGACTTTAAATTGTAGTTTCAACAAAGCCTGTACAATTAATAAAATATTGAAAAGAACAGGAATAAACTGGGCAAATTGTCTCACTTTGAAGAATGTTCTAAAATACATGAATCCTAGATATAAGAATACATTCATCTTGAATTTTTTATAATCAGATGAAGTGTTTCAGATCATGCTGGTTTATGTTTAAAATGTCACATAGGAAGATTCATAGATGCTATAAATATAGCAGAATTTTTTTTAGTCCAAGAGGGAGGAGAGAATTGGAAGAAAAAGCAACCATTTCATCAGTAGCTTTACTGTTCAGCTCTGTAATAGGTATTCTATATCTGCTTGTTGTTCAAAGACAGCCCAAAAGATGGATAGTTCATTCATTATACAGTGCCAGCAGGGAGTCACCTTATTGAAATAATCTGACTGGTAGTGTCAGGTTGGCAAAAATCCAAGTTTTGAGTGACAGTCCTTAGATTTTTGTATGTGTATGCATACAAACTGCAGCATTGTTAATCCTTAGGGACAAAGGATACAAAGGAAATAATCCCGTAAAGTTCAGTGGGTACTGACAGAGTTTGGTGCTTTGTTTGACAGGTCCACTAATTGTTCTTCAAAAGAAAGAATGAGTAAGTGTTGGCAATTTAACACCAGTGATTCCAGTAAACGTCTAGAAGGAAATTGTGGATTTCTTTTCAGTGATTCTTTTATGTCCTTGATATAATGTGCTGCTTAGAATTAAAAGATGTGTCAAAACTTGTCTTGTAGAGAAGAATTTATATGTGTAGTTTATGAGCATATATTTATACCTAGACTGCTTCTGATATCCAAATCAATGAGCAGGTCCAAACAGAATTTGTTTCTTTTTTTGTTGTCTTCATTACTTAGTCCACTGAAGTGTATTTCTTCTTCTGAAATTTACTCTGACATGAGCTTCTAATCTAAAGTGAGAAATATGCCCTTCCCTGTCATAGACTGCTTAAACTTGTGTCATTGCTCAACCTTGACAATGAAGCAACTCTCTTTGGCTGGCAAAATGAAGATTTCATGCTTGTTTCTAATTCTGAATTGCCCTCAGGCATTATTCCTTTAAATAAAAAATCTATTGTCCTGTAGCTGGTTTTAGATTCTGTTTATAGGAATCCAACAGTTGATAGATTTCTCACTCTGCAGTGCTTGTTTTGGAGATGGAAGGTAAAGAGAGCATTAGCAAAATATGTGCTTACATCTGGAATATTTCAGATTTATTTTTTTAAAGGAGATAGCACTTTTTTTTTATGCAGTAGAAATGAAAATAATTGATTTTAGTGATCTGTACATAATGCTCCTATTAATTTTTGACCACTGTATCTATCTAACCACTTCACATGCTTCTAAGAGTCCTAAGATAATGTATAAGTTGTTAATTTTAATAATACAAACATAGCAGTACTTGTATGTATTAGTGGAATACCTTTTCTGCTTGTGGGGCTTGAGGAAAAGGAAAGGTTGGTTTGTGCAAGACGGTGCTCCAAGGTGTTTCTGGTCTCTGCCTCTACTCCTGATGGTTTTGGTGTCATGGCTGAAATCAGTAGGCTAAACTAATAATCCAGAATTCCAGATTGAGATTGTGGGCGCACTGGTGTGGTCTTTTTTGGATGTGGATTTTGGAGAGTATTCTACCATTTTGAAGTCACCCATGAAATTAGAATTTGGGGACAAGTGATGTGTGCAAGTAAAAGAAGAAAGGTCATGTCATAAGGCAGTTGAGCTTGGACTCTGACTACTAGTGTGCAGCCTCTAGATTACTGAAAACAGAGGAGTTTTCTTTTGTTGTCAGCAGAGACAGAAAATAACATCTGGTTTTAGTCGCATCTGTTGCGTGTGTGAGTGAAAGAAGCAAATCTAGTGCCAATGTGTGGGCACAGGGAATCTTGCAGGGAATGATCCTTCATCTGATTGTTTGAAATGGGCTGTGTTAGGTGCTTAGCTATCTCCCAATTAATTTGGAAGGCTGATTGAATCTACATAATAAGATTTGAGACACCTAAATGTAAAGCACTGTAGCAATACAACGATTGCATGACGAAAATTGCCTTTAGAGGGGGAGAGTGGCGTGACTCATACGTACATCTTTCCTTGCCTAGTAGAAGGATGGAGAAAGGGGTACTGAGGAGTTTCTCCTGAGCTGTAACTGAGCTGTGTTCAGCTGTGTGCAGCTCACTAGGCACCAGTGGTGCCCAGTCAGATGCTGTGCTTGATTGAAGTCAGGAGTAAGTCTGAGGGGAAGTAATTAGGATTGTGCAGTCTGTACAGTCCATTTAATTGTGTAACTCTCCTGCCTTCAGTTTTAACAAAATTTACGTACTGTGTTCCTAGCCTAATGAATACCCATAAAACATTTAAGTAATTTCACATATTAAGAGAACAAAGTCAAAACCACTCAGTGTTGCCAGAATAATGCAACATGTTTAGTATTATCTACAGGAAAATAAGAGAGCAGGGGAGAATAAAAAACTGTCTTGTTTCTACTCATCTGAAGTAAGCCTCTTTACTTGAACTCACGTGTTGGGAATGTAAGATTTGCTGTGTCTTTGCTTTCACATGAAATACTTCCATATTGGCTAAAAATATACAAAACTTGAACAATGTTTTCTTAACTCCTATAACTGTAAACAAAGACAACATCAGGAAGTGGTAGGAGGTGCTTTTAACCTTAGATTGTGATGTATAGCTCTAGTAGTTATTCTTCTAGATTTCACTAGATTTACCCTCCACAAAGAATTTTTGTTTTGATCTCACTGTCCACCAGAAATAGCTGCTGACATGGCAACCTCTGCCTCTCTTACAAAGTTATCATTTGATGTTACAACTGCAAGTTCAGAGCAAAGTTTTGCTTGAGACAGATGACACTTGCTTAAGACAAGACACAAGACAGATAATAAATAGATTGACTAGCTGTATTGCATGACTCTAATTATGATGTTATCTACTAAATCCAACTCCTTGGGGATATAGCTATTCAGAAGAAAAAAAACCCAACACATTTGATATCTTTACTGTTGATCCTAAGTGGCCCTAGAGATGCTGAGCCACAAGTGAAGGTTTGTGAACATACAACTGAATGAAACCATGCACCATTCTTCATGTGTAACAGTTCATTTTAGATGACTCTTGTTTTTCTTTTCTTACCTTGGAATATTTGAAAATTGCTAGTTATGTAAGAAGGATAAATACAAAGCCCTAATTGTATTTATAATTTATTTTTATTTTTTTTTCCCCCCTAAACAGGAACGAACATCTGCACAGATGCTCTCAGTGCAAGGTTGCTAAATATTGTGGTAAAACTTGTCAGGTAAGATGAAATATAAGAGCTATAAAGGGCTGAAGAAAGCAGGCATTTGAATACTTTATAAACAGGGTTTCCATGCATTTTGCACATTGTCATATTTCACACTGCAATTTCTTATTTGTATTTATGAACAGAGTATGTAGACATACTGTCTTGTTTTATTTAAGTATTTTTTAGTCATAAATATAAGATTAGACACAACTAAATATAAGACTAGACACAACTAAGCTGAAACATGGTGTTTGGCTGTGCTTAGTTAGAGCTTTGCTGGTAGTGGACTGATGACTATAAGTAATTTTTGCAGTAAAGCATTCTGCATTTCAAGAGTAAATTAATAATGGGAAAGTATATATTCCTGGTTTTTAAGAGGAAATAGGGGTCAAGAATGTGCAGGAAAGAGAAGGCCTTAGATGAAACTACATCTCTGAGGAGGGTGCCGAGAAAATGGAGCCAGGCTCTTCACAGTGGTGCACGGCAGGAGAACAAGGGACAACAGACTTCAGTTGAAGGACAAGTGATTCACATGGTGTATAAGGAAAAGCTGTTTCACCCTGTGGACAGCTAAGAGGTGGAACAGGCTGGCCATGCTATTTGTGTCATCTGCAAGCTTTGAGAGTTTCAAGACCCCACTGGATAACGCTCTGAGCTGACTCCGCTTTGCAACTAGAGATGTCCATCAGTCCCATCCAACATGAATTATCCTGTGATTCTGTCCTGTGAAACACTTATTAAAATGTTCAAACCTAAACACTTAGCTTTTATATTTGGCTTGTACCGTCACTTAAGCGTGTGTGCAGAAGTTGGCGGGATGTGATACTGAGTGGAGATGCAGAGGTAAATGTTTGTTAAGGTCTAATACAGCAGAGAACCAGGCACCTGAGATTTGAACCATGAGGAACACCTTATTTTTAAAGTATTCCTCTTCACTTTTCATGGTGGTTTCTGTTTGTTTTTCTAAATAGATAAAAATGAAGAAAACCAACTAATGGTCAAAACAGTCTAGTAGTGATACTCTATTAAATTCATATGAATTTTACTTTTAAAGATAAGTCCTTGATGTTCAGTCATGTACTTCAATAAACAATTCTGCCTAAGTATAATCTGCAGTGTTCTCAACAAGCCAGAAAACCCTCCTCTTTGGGATTAAAACATATGGAGGGGACAAGGAGGAAGATATGTCATTTTGATTCATTGTATGGCAAACGTGTGCAATGTACATTAGGTGCTTACTGCAGCATCAATAATAATGCCACAAGTAGATTTATTGCGGGAGATCATATGGAAAAAAAAATATGACTGTGAAGAATATAATAGACCAGAGTATTATTTGCAAGATAAGTGTAAAACAAATATCTGCCGGGAAAGTCATTGGTAAAGCTTCTGTTGGAGATTCTGTCACATGAAATGGACTGTTCCAGCTTAGGTGTAGTAGCAATGAAGGGCCTTCCTTCTTGGGGAAACCAACTTTGTGAGAATGCTTCAAGGAGTCACAGTGGATAGCCCAAAGCCATGTTGTGCTTCCAGCTCGAGGGTTCATGTGCTTGAAGCTACTCACAGTTGCAGGTAGTTCATTTCAGTGAGACAGGCTACTGCTGCTTGAAGCAATCAGTACTTAAAATCCTGTTTTTGCTGTTACATAATATCTTGAACTGTTAATATAAAAAAATAATTGAATATATTGATATGGAATTAATATTATATAATATCCAGTGATATTAGGTAGCAGTTGAGAATAACTGAAAAAATGTTTTCATCAAAACAGTTAATTTATTAGGATTGATGACTCAAGGCAGATGAACCAGAGAAAACTGAGACCAGCAGATCTGTTTGCTTCTGAGGACTGATTTCTAGTTAGTATTTCTTCTGATAAGCCAGCTGAACTACTGTGCAGTTCTGGTTTTATAGCAGATGTGCTCTACTTAGCCTCTGTGGCTTAAGTGCAATTCCTTAGTATATGCACTTCTAATTGAACTAACTGCTGAACAAAATAAATGGGAGCATAATGAATTGCAGTTTGCACATTTGGAAAAGTAAGTATTGGCAGAACAAAACTATTTTAGTTTCATAAATACAGATAATTTTGACATACAAATTGTGCAGTTGGATTTACAATTTATAATTAGTTGCAGAATGATTTGATTATTTTTGGACGTGTGTTAAATGAATCATACATCTCAAAACAGCTTAGGCTCAGAAGATGTCAGTTTCCTGGTTAATTTCCGGTCAGTTTTCTGGTTAATTTTCTGGTTAGCTTACTGGTTGGTTTTCTAATTAATCTAGTTTTCTGTTTACTCCTCTTTCTTTGCTTCCTTCTGATAGTGTTCATTTCTAACAGGGGAAAAAAAAAAATCTGTTGCAAAATTGGAAGAACTTCCCTGACGGAGTGGGAGAATGGTCTTCCCAGGTGGCCATACCTCTGCACAGTAGTATTTATAGTCATGCTGGATATGTGATAGTGAAACCTTGACTGAAAACCAGGATATGCAAAGTTAAGAAAACCTCCCATGGAGAACTGTGGGACTAATATAAGCCCACCCATAAGTATTGTTAGAGACAGACTTTAGAAGTGAGTCTATGGTCACAAATCTTCATGGTTTCACATTGTTCTGTAATTTGTGTCCTTGTTGTATTGGTAAGGAGAAGAAATATTGTTACATTTCATTATACTTGAAGTTTTTGGAGCTTTTCCCCCTATCCTCATCCAGTTGGGAGGAAGCAAATGGCAGTCCCTGTTACAGCTCTCCTTCTACAGAGGAGTGAGACTAATTCCTTTTTGGCATCAGTTTCAGCTGAAGTGCTGTTCTGCAGAAGGTGTGTGTTTGAACTGTTCTTCTCACATGGGAATGCATCTCAAAGGAATGTAGCGTATGATGCTATGTGCTGCTGCATATTTAATCTCATTTATTGGTTGGATAAGCTGTTAATCATTTTGATGCCATCTTTAGCATGTTTAAAATTCTGTGCAACATTTTATGTAGGGGGAAAAAAAGTTGACCGGTAAAGGCTTACTCCAAAGAACAATTGTAGTTTAAGTGGGATAAAAATGCCAATATAATTATATTTCACAGAATGATGTCTTGGCATTTACAAGCATGACCTTGTATATTCTAGACAAGAATAATTCTATTCAGTACTAGATACTTAACTTCTTTTTGCCAGAGAGTATGTGACACTAATTGTATTTGGATTAATGCCTTCTTGGAATAATTTTTTCCCCTTGTAGAGTTATAGGTAAAGGAAATGAAATCACAAATCTACTATGTATCTGAAAGAAAAAGTCCATTTTATTTATTACATGTAAGCCAAAGGGGAAAATCCCTCAGTGAAAAAGAATAGCTGCTAGTGGTGCTGAAACCTAGTTACCTGAAAAAATTCCCCCACTGAAAGGCAGCTTAAGAAGAAATTGTGTGATAGCCATTGTAATTTTTATAACTAGCATGTCAGTGTCTTCAGGTGTGATGTGCACTTGGACATACCACAGCCTTTCTCTCATTTTTTCCTGCT